CAGGGAGTGACGAACTTTTTGAAAACGGTTTTTTGCATGATATAGGGGCAGATGCGGGGACCACAGAACCATGTTTAATTTTTCCTGAACGGCCCTCTGAATACCAGAAAAGGGGTCCCTAGTTCGATTCCTCTTGGTGACAAATTTTTGCATTTCGAGTTGACGTTCCAAAATTCGCGCAAAATGGAGTTCTGATTGTTCTGGTTGGTTCTAACTCCATTTTGCGCGAATTTTGGCACGTCAACTCGAAATGCAAAAATTTGTCACCACGAGGAATCGAACTAGGGACCTCCTTTTCTGGTATTCAGAGGGCCGTTCAGGAAAAATTGAACATGGTTCTGTGGTTCCCGCATGTGCCCCTATATCATGCAAAAGACCGTTTTCAAAAAGCTTGGTCACGCCCTGAAAGACCTTCCTGGTAGGCCTTTCAGCTAAGTGCGCTGCCAGATTTTCTAGGCAGCACGGTTGGTCGGCAGCAGCGTTAGCGGTTGTGCCCAATCAACACGCCGTTGACATAGTTGTTTGTATCGCTGCTTGGCGTAATGCTGAAGCAGCAGCATAGTGGCCGAGTTTCTTTATGTTCAGTCCATACTATGTTTTTGTGATAATTCTTCTATCACTTTGGGTAGGTGCTGTGTGAGTCGGGTGGCACACCGATTGGGTGAACGATGTTATTTTCCCCGAAGTTCTTTCTACTTGAAATTAAGAGAGCCCACCTGACTAACATATCGCCGAAGGTTTGGAATGCAAGCTTAGTATTTTCCCCAATAAATCCATAGCTGAAGTTCGGCAATGTCACCCTATAAGAAGTGATTACCTGAGGATGTTCGACATCCCTTGCATTAGTGTCAAACTTTTTTGCGTAGTATGTGACTATGGTTGAATTTGCAGGCGTCCAGTTTTTTCACTCTCTATGCCAAGCCGTGTGTGGCGTATATGGCATCGGGAGGCATTGCGCAATGAAGCTCACTGCCATGTGGCATTGAGGTCAATTGCCTTCACTCTTTCCCACCAAAAGTTAGAATGCAATGCATTAGTTGAAATGTGCGTACAAATAAGAGAGTTTGAAACTCATTGAAGAATGTAGTAGTAAAAATAGTTTTGTGAATTCTTCAAATACCGCATTGTTCGGAACTTGCCCACTACATTTCAGAGCCTGACCGAAAACGAGAAACTGCTCTGAAGGAGAAACTGCACTAAGCCTAAGGATGCACGAAATGTCGATTTCGAGAGACAAAACCGTGAAAACTGTGAGTTTCGCTTTCTGTTCGTGTTGTAACATTTTTATTGAGCTGCCGCATATTTCGCACATCATAGCAGAGCGCGGTTTGTGACCTTTCTTTTTTCTTTCCTGGTATCATAACAATGGAACGAGCATCATCACCTTTATGACAGTCATGTTCATCTGCAGATCAAGAGCAAGTCAACTTGATCTGCAGTGCAATGATCTAGCAGAGGAACGATGGGAAAGCTGAGGAATCTCGGTCGACTAGGTATAGGGCACAATTTTTGTCGGCAATTATTTATTCTTTTTTTATGTCATTGACACTGCTTCTCCCCACTGGGAGGTGGTGTAGTGCCATGTGATTACGTTTACCACGCACCCATCTATCGGCGACGCTCTTGCGGCTGCATGCTGAGACCAGACTTTTTGCTTGCAAATGTAGTGCAGTGGAAATAAGCGAAAACCAAAGCTGATGTAGTCATGGGCTATGTTTTTCTTAGCAGAATAATAAGCCTGTTGAAGGTTGCCTGGTTCTCTGGAGAACTGGGACCAGTTCGAAGAGCTTATCGTTAAAGGTAATCATTTGCAGCAATAAGCTGTTAGCTCCTTTTGTTTTCATGGCATTGGTCTTTCTTTGTTGCACACTTTCTTTGTAGGGTGCTGCAATATGCCTTTTCGGGAAGAATATATAATCGATCAAAATTCAGTAGATCAGAGTGAGAGTATAGATCTTCTTGTTGTATGAGGGCTCACATTTGCCGCAGAAATTACCTTTTTTTTACAGAGAGGTAGTAGTACCCGCAACTAGATTTTAGTGCCGAGAAATGGGTTGGGAACCCAACGCCCGCATCTCTTACACAGCCTCAATCGAGTGAGTTTCACATGCGCTGGTGTTTTTAACCTTCTCTTTCCTTTCTTGCGTTTGAAGTTTGAACTCATTGACCATTTACCCGTTTGATGACAATTCCTTTTTTCAATTATGACACTGTATTTGTTTTGCATTCTCCTTTTTGCATCATTTCAGACCTATGCAATTTTTTACAAACATGCTCAGTCGATGGCATATAATGCAGCCAAATATGCATAGACTCAAAAACCGTATCACTCAAAATTCTCTTTCCTTCAAGCAGATTTTTTGACGCAACTTCCGAAACTCGAATTCAGATGTGTTGCATTGTGAGAGAGTTTAGTGACTAGGTTGAGATACTTGATCCGTTTCTTGGGCCAGGGTCAAGCGAGGCGTCGAGGAAAATTTGGAAATACGACCCCCCCCTTCTCGAAAGGCCGAAGTCCATGAAACGACTCTCTTCAAAAGCCGAACTATGGAAAGGTTGTCTAATTCTCCCCCAAAACTGTTCATAAAAAAAGCCCTGCTATCACACCGTCAACCGAAAATTCTTTTAAAAAGTACAAAAGTGAAAAGTCAAAAAATTAATCATTATTGATGAGTCCTACCAAACGAGCAAACGAAAAAAGCAGCAGAAAACCTCAAACTACTCACTAAAAATGCATACTATGACAACATCTCTTCTTTATTTATTTCCTCCACAAGACTTACCAATTAGTACTAGTGACTATTAAAACCCCGAAGGCACATCGGTGAGATGGGATCAAAAAAATTTTTTCGCGGTGTGTGTGGAATATGGGCAGTATATCGAACAACCAGCGTCCACTAGAGTCACGAAATACACTGACCTCCAAATTTTTGAAGCGCGAGCTACGTGATATACGAAAGGGAAGAGAGAAGGACATTTGAGTGCAAATAAGAGCACAACACAAGAACATTCTATGAAAGCTGAATAAAAATTGCTTTCAACATTGCAACAATAATTAAGTTTGAAAGCGACGCTTCGAATTACACTCCCACAAAAGCTAATTCGTCCACCTTCAAGAAAGATTACAATGAGCACAAAATAATATCCTCGAAAAAAAGCTAATGCGCAAAACAAGTGCAGTGAACTATTGCACCAAAATGCCACCTCCTCACCCATCAAACTACACGAGTCCTCGCCAAGTACGAAACACACACACACATGTTAAAACTTTATTCATCATTCTTGTTCTCTTGTTTTAACGAGCCCAGTGACTTTGAATGTGGCCCTAATAGTAGGGCACATCATGGGTTATTGCATTGAAAGATGTCGAATCTTTCAGAAGGGCTAGAGTTGTGTACTTGGTCCAAGAAAGCTTGGTACAGGGCGTCAAGCTGCTCGACCTCCGTATTGCTTTTTCCACAGGAACTCGTGCATATAGTCCACATATCGAGCGTTGTTGATGCCGTAGCGTCGCTTTGCCACCTCCTTGTACTTCTGCCAGAGGGATTCAACATGCTGAGTGTGTGCTCCAGTCCTTGGATTGACGAAGTTCAATTGGTGGTTGACCTGGAAATGTCTGTATCCGAGCGGCAGGGCGGAAATTTGAGAGTAAGCTCTCCAACTGTCACTAAAGATGGTGGTTCCAGGTCTGATGAGTTCATAATGAGACGCAAGAGAGTAGGAGCGTCCCTCCTTCGAACCAGCGTGAGGAATGCTCGACCGCTGCCCCTTTCGATGCCTCCGAAAAGCCATTGGTGTCTACGGACCCAGCGTCCCCGGTTGTACTTGCGCCTAGTTACCAGGGTTTCGTCGATCTCCACTTCACATCCAAATCCTCCGATGATCGGTGGGTTCCTTCTGAAGTACTCTGCGCACACATCACGGAAATATTGCTCCCACTGAACAACGGTGCGAGGGTTGATGTGCAGCTCGTACGCTTTGTCCTTCACTTTTCCCATGTCACGGAGCCAGAAGTAGGACAGTGCGAACACGGTCGACTCGCTGAGGTTGGATTTGTCGAAAAATGAGCCCTTTCTGGCAGGGACGTAGACCTTCGTTTCGTTCGTTGGTCCAGTTCGGCACGACCTTCGGTTACAAATCCAGCCATTGTGGTGCTCGTCGTTTTTCGGCGCCATGGATCCTTGGCAGGAAGGACATAATGGCGTGGACATCATCCCCTACTTCGCAGCCAATCCTGGAACTGCAGGTGATCCATCTGCTGCAGTTTTCGTCGAATAACTTCGTCCAATGAGATCCATTCGCTCGTGTTGGCGATGTACGTTGCGCTCAAAGCGTTGAGACCTAATAGCTTCACTTCGGTCACGAAAGTGAGAAATGAGCCTATGGCAACGCACGCCGATTCCCATAACCTGGTTGTCTCCAAGCGTGGGAATTCCCTGGGGTCACATCGCCTTCACACAGCCTGGTTGTCTCCAAGCGTGGGAAATCCCTGGGGTCACATCGCCTTCACACAGCCTGGTTGTCTCCAAGCGTGGGAAATGCCTTAGGTCATATCACCTTCCCACGACCTGACTGGCTCCGAGCGTGGGAAATTGCTCCGATCCTCCTTCCACCTTTTTACTGTGCCAAATGGCGGTAATAGGAGGTCAGCGCCAAAAATGGAGGTCATATTCGTGATCAGGACCCTCGATAACCCCCATATGCGAAGTTTCAGCGAATTCGGTGAGAAACCCTTGGCGCCCAGCGCCAAAAATGGAGGTCATATTCGTGATCAGGACCCTCGATAACCCCCATATGCGAAGTTTCAGCGAATTCGGTGAGAACACCCTTGGCGCCAATTGGCGCCAAATGGCGCCAATTTGGCGCCAGCGCCAAAAATGGAGGTCATATTCGTGATCAGGACCCTCGATAACCCCCATAGCGCAAGTTTCAGCGAAAAAATTTTTTTGATCCATCTCACCCCCTCTGGGGTTGTAATAGCTCAATAGTGCCAAATTTCAGTACTACACAGAGTACGGTTATCAATTTACACGTCCCCTTCAGTTGAAAGAAGCTTTTTAACCGCCTTAGCCAGCTGCGTGCTGACTGATCTTTGGCGTTGACCGTGGAGCAGCTTATCTACTATTGAAATTTGAACAAATATTCAAATGATTATAACTTTCTTCAAATATGACGAATTTTCAATCTGAAAGCAGATTTGGGAGTTTTGTGAAGAGCTCTTTCTAACCAGTATTGAAATCACAAAAATTTATAAGAAATAACAAATTTAGATCGATTAACGAGGAAAATTCATGATGAGCACGAGTTTTTACACTTTCCGAGGCCGTAACTTGCTCCCTTTTCATCATTCCCGGAAAGTTAATATGTCAGACAAAACTAGAAGATTTTCTCTATCAAATGGTTGCTAAAGCAGCTTTATACGTCCAGTATTTAAAAAATGGCCACGTTGAGGATTTTTGCAAAATTAACGAGGAAAATTCGTGATGAGTGCGAGTTTTTACGCTTTCCAAAGCCATAACTCCGTTCAAACTCATCCAATCTGAAAAGTTAATACGTCATCATAAACTAGAAGATTTGCTCTATTCAACGGTTACTAGAACTGCTAAAAACGTTCACAATTTAAAAAATGGCCACGTTGAGGATTTTTGCCCGAGTACCGCCGAAAGGTACTTTTTCGCTGCATTAGCACTACTCCAACTATAGCTCCTTTCAGGGGCAATTATACACTAAAGTAGGAGCAGATTCGAAATCCTCTTTCTTTTCTCTTTCCAAAAAGTGTAAAATTGTTTAGCGTGTCTTAACTTTAACGATTACATGCTTGTGAATTTGACGCTGAAGGCTGCATTTCTTGCTCAATAGTGTACTCCTCCATGTAATCTCACACAGACCCTTTCAGGATCCTCTTAATTTTTCTCTGAATTGAGAGTTTTTCTCTCAAGAGCCGTAGTTAAAGCGCGCGCAACTAACTGGGCCCACTCTGGTATGCGCCGTGTGCTTCACATCCCTTGAGATTCGAGGACTCACCTGAAAGATAAAATATCCGTTGGAAAACGTGCGAATTTTGGATTTTTTGACTTGTTAGTGATAGTTTAAAGATAAAACTCTGAGGTAGTGAAAAATCACTACGCGCACACCTCTGAATCACGAAAATTTTATGTGGGCGGAACAGCACTGGTACTGGAAGTCCTCTGGCCTTCCATGGCATCGACTCGATCCCTGATGTTCTGTCCTGCGATGTGCATTTACAAACATGCTCCACTTCAAATATGCTACATGATAAAAATCTATCAATTTTCATACTATACACAAATTCAACCATACAGCGAGCCACAGCACCCCCAGGCACGAACCCAATCAAACCAGGACAGAAGTAAAATGGCGCGTCTCACTAGGAAAAATAGCCGACACCACAAGAATATGCGCCGAAAAAAACAAGTCAAGACACACTATCATACTTCTCAACGAAGGATTGCTGCATCAGCTCGGCCCCGAATCCCTCCTCACGCAGTGCCAATACGCCCACCCCCCCTGCCCGATTGTCGAGTACCTGTTCCTCACGCCACTTGACCTGTCTTGGACTGAAGTATTTTTTATGCGTCGAATCATTTGACTGTCGCTGATCTATAGAGTACTATCTTGATGATGTTTTTAATTCAGTTGGTCCTTATACAGAAATGTGATTGTCTCACCATTATGTTGAAGGAATGAGGAGTTTATTGTTTTCGTTGATGTTGTTACCATTAACTTGACGGTTTCCTATGTTTTTTTTTTTGTCTGATTTACTTTGTCTAGAAGACGTTAATGTAAAGCAGTCTTGAATATTCACAGAATGATGCAGAAGAACAAAAAATGCGAGCGACAGAATATGGAAATGAGGGTGCCAGGAGCCTCAAAGCAGCACGAGGGAACAAGCGACATGTGCATCGTGGTATGTTAGGAAGTCGAGACGTGCACTCGAGGGTGCAAACTTTTATTTCCAAGAAATACGAAGGGATTGACTGGAAGAGATCAAGGAATGAAGGTGGCAATCAATGGACGAACCATTTTAGCTACGTTTTCCATCAGCAGCAGAGTATGCTGCAGTTATCTTATCTCTTCTAGCATTCAAGCCATAATTATTTACCGTTGTGAATGTAGGCATAACACTGGTAAGTTAAGCTTTTCACAGGATCATGGCGAACAGAAAATGTGCAGTGTCGGGCAACTTGCCAGAGAAAGCACCATGAAGCAGACAATCCTTAACATTATAAAAAGTGGAATAGACGGTGAACGCTTCGCTTTCGTTGGTTGGATAAGTGGAAAAAGGAAAGGAAAGCAAGTTGGTGGATGATGCTATCACCAATCGTGGCACGTGCCTGTGTCAAATTCATGTGATGATATTGGCGGTGAGAAATGGGACTTGTATACCATAACCTCAGTTTACTGTATTTACATGCACAGGCACAGTTTCTGTCTACTGAAATAGTTGTACTAGAGCAGAAGTCGATACGACATTGTGAAGATCCTACGGCAGAGGGTAGAACCGAAGGGAGTGTCAACATCGATATTCCTTGCAGCCTCGTTGAGAATATTAACTCTGCGAGTGCAGTAAGGATTGATTGAACAGTAGGCTTTTCCAGAGGTTCTATACCTCAATCAGGGAAGTGTTGTAATTGGAGAAAGAGATGTTCGCCCGAAGTTCAAGAATTGATGGAGGAGGGTGTCGTCATTGAGACCATAGCTTTGGTTGATCGTGCTGAGCCACTGAAAGAAGTAAGAGTCGAGACCCGCGATGAAGTGGAAACGGTTGAGAAATTCAAAGGGAGTGAGGATGAGTAGCCCTAATAGAGTGCAGAGGTTCAACAAGGACATACTCCATATCAAAAATATAAAGAGAACCTTTCTCAGGAATCGAGCAGAGTTAGCCACAACAGAACTTCTTGAGCAAGCAGATGACGTTCACATGTAGTATATTTCCTTGTTGAACTTCCGCTCCGGCCCCGAGTGCGGACACCGGCTGAAGAGCAGGTGGAGCTGTGAGGACTGCAGCTGTTATTGACTTCGTGTGCGGAAACTGCAGTGTCGGATACCCACTCGTGAAAAGGTGGAAGGGCCTGAGCAAGCAGACGTAGCCCTGTTTTTGAAAACCTTTTCCACGGAGGTCTTTCAATGGACCAAGCCAGCTATCGAAATGGTATACCGCTGGCATCAGCAGCTGGCGCTGGAAAGAATAATGAGAAAGAATCAAGTACGAATAGTGATCGCTTACACTCTGTTCAGTCCTTTATTTAAACAATTCAGAGTGAGGGGTTGAATTTGGCAGCCGATTGAGCGTATGATAGCCTAGGGTATACGGGGCATCGATATGCAGCGTTGTGCTGTCAGATCTACGTACTGACTTGATACTCCATGCTGAGGTGCTCCATCGATCGGGAATGGGTGAAGCGGTGTAATATAAACATAATATAACAAATATTTGTACAATTACAATTATTCAGAGAACGCTGGTACACGCATAGACAGAGGGAGGCATTTGCTACGGTGAAGGTGCGGACTGAGATTCCGGGTGTCGTCTGTGGCGACAGACTGCAGTCGTCCACTGGGCGCTGCCATTTCAAAATTGGGCCTGAGCTCAGTGTCATTCATCATTAATATAATGGATGGCATCTCATCAAGTGGTTGGGCAATCAGCTCAGGCAGGTATGAGCCGCACTAAAACACTGCGTGGCAATAGATGCAAGCATTCTTTTTGCAGGTGGATGGCCGAGAGGATATCACCGAGTGTACGAAGAAGGTGAAGTCGTACCTGTGGACAGCTATTCAACGTGGAGGGCGTCAGGAGGTCACCAAGCCCATGTTCGACACTCCCTGATGCATATTCGTTAAGTGCGTCAATGACCTCTGGCCTGTGATTCTTGAGTAAATAATCATACTCCATCAAGAATGCATAATTTCCAGGAGATGCCCTACGACGAGCTCTTGACCATGGGCCCTTCTAGAAATTCCACGATCCGAAGAGCTGGAGGAGTATAGCCAGGTTTATGAGAATTTCCGAGCCATCATCCTAACAAGGCTTTTTTAACGAAATTCGTAATTCTAAAAGTTGGCTCGCATAGCAGTACCTCCCTATGCGAGGCCATGCACTCATTGGATAGGGAGGCCTGTTCGAAGGAGAAGTTCTGCCCACTTAAGGCGTACCCACTCTAAATGGCCACAATACTCGTGAACACATTGCGGCTAGCAGAAGAGAACGGGAAATGGAAGTGCTGAAGGCGGGGGATTACCTTGATAGGAAGTCGAAGTTGATTCTGAAGACTCCAGCAATATTCGGAGAGACTGTAGTGGATGAGGGCCTCAAGTGATGTCTCATAACCTTGCAAGAAAAGGGTCCAACTCGCACTCCACAGTGTGTTGTGGACCGTATGGAGGCCGACGAGGATTACGAGTGAGAGCTAATGACTCGGTTACAGTCATTTGAATTTATTTTGAAACCTTGACTAAGAGGGCGGTACCCCGCCTCTTCGCTATCTCAGTTGGACTGACAACTCCCAATGTGCGGGATCTGAACCACTTTACATTCATCCCAGTTTCCAGTTGCCAAAGGTAGAGAAAACTGCGCTTATACTTTCCTCGTCCCGCGGGGCTCATGATAGGGGCCCCACACACAGGCAGAATTCTATCCCCTGCTCATCTCTGCCCATTAAACCGAAACATGAAGAGGGTCGCCATTTACTGCAATGAACGTAGTGGTGAGCTACACACACGATCCGCAAAAAGACAACTATTGAGCGAGGCACATTTTATTTGCCTCAGCCTGTCTCCGTCCCTCTCTCTCCCTTCTCCTCCTTCCCATCCTCTCCACCGGTTCCGGCTCTGGAATTTCAATTGAAATTGGCTACGGAACCTTCATTTAATGGCATGGATTTGTGTCACTACTGAACCAGAGGGAGAGATGTATGTTTCTAGTTGCTAAGACAAATTTCCAGGACGACGTGAACATGAGCTCATCGTTGTCTACTGTGCTCCCCCGTTTACTCTCCTCTTTCGCACCATCCGAGAACAAAAAGGTGCCATCCAGTAAGGTATGGGCATGCGGTGCGACAGTTGGTGCATATTACTGGAATGCCAAGAAACTCCTACCGCTCCTACACACCAATCAAGCTCCCCTACAAAGTTTGACTTTTTGAGGTAATATGAACTATCAGACCCATGACCCTCCTTCGCTGGCTGATGACCTGAAAAAAGATTGTTCCATGACTAAAACAGCATTTTGCAGCATCAAAAAGCTCACCGCATGATCTTTATTGACTTTCCTTACTCTCCTAAGACGTAACTGCACACACTGTGCATTCCAAGATTACATCAAACTGGTTGTATCAATATAGACTGGATTTTGTTGGATTGTAAGTTCATCCATTTGTACTATTCAATTTTGATCTAAACCTTAGGATTCCATGTTTAAAAACGATTGCTGACGACTACTGTGGGTCCACTGGGTTGTTCGTTTCATCCATTCTCCAGATCTTCTTCCATCGTATCCTCATGGAGGTGATTGAGTGTTTCATCAGTACCTATTCGTGGATCTATTGAGCTACAAGATGATTCGTTACGTTCTTCTGATGATTGCCCAATCTACCATGTCCCGAATTCTTTGCGATCAAGGTCTTTTTCATCGGATTTTCCTCATTTCATCACAGAAAGGTCTTTTCTCTCACTATTCCATCAATATGACGTGATGACGTTGTTAGCGACGACGCTTGATGGGAATCCATGGGATTGTTTGTGTGAACATGTGCGCATTGTGGTGAATGATAGAAAGACCCATTGGAACAACAACACTACTTACTCGACCTGATGCGCCACTTCAGTGGGGGAGGCCTAAATTACAAAAAACGGAATTGTACTCGGTATGCTATAGGGTCGCTTTCGAAATCATCGTTTCCGTTATATGTTTGCGGAGGACAAGGTCGAAAGCAGATGAGGTCTCAATTAGCCAAAAACATACGAGTAAATCTTGAAGAAGTTGCTCTCCTTAGGCAATAAAGTCTTTCCTGATGATATGGACTTAGAAGAAAAAGTAGCGTGCACGTGAAACTGAGGGAACAAGAAACAGAAAATATTCTAGGTCTACCTGTGACCAGATGTAGGGGAACGCAAGGCAAGAGATAACATGAAGCTATTTCAGCGGGCTCCTCTTCTTATTGCCGGGAGTGCTCCTTGATGCGACAAAGTGATGTCAAGGAAAAGTCGAAAAGCTATTTGCAGGAGAAGAAAGATGAAATAAAGCGATCAGATCACATAATACAGAATACAGAAACAAACTTATTTCATATAAAGATATAAACTCACGGTCAGCAACTGCTGACGAATACAGTGAACAATAACAGCAGCAGTAGTAGAAAAATGAG